ATATCATTTGCATAAAGAAAACAACTGTATTAATGGTATTTTTGCAGGTTGAGGTCACAAAGCAACAAATTTATGAGATGAAATTAGATGATGATAGTACAACTTTTTCTAAAAATAAATCACGTGAGAATCGGTAGGTAAGTACATACAGGTTAATGGTCATCTATTTAATCATCAATAAATAAAATGATAACATTGCATATATATTTCCAACCTTAGTACACACGGCTATTTTCAATTCTATACACTATGATAGCTTGCTATAGCCGGTATGGCTAATCACAGTGTGTGAGGGCAATCACAGGCTGTTGCAAGGGATGTTGATATGGATCCTACGTTTGACAAGACAGGAAAGGTCTATTCTCATGTCCCAGATTGAAGAGCAATGGTGCATTGTCACTGCCAGAATAGTTATAATATCAGCCTGTATTCTCATCAACAATTGTTTCTGATAGTAAAACTAATCATGGTTAAACAACATGGCGTCAATATTATTTCAGTGCATTTTTACACTGTATTTATACACCTCATTTCAATTGCTATTTTGGCCCCTGACATTAGAAGAAGCAGGGGATTATTAAAATGAGTTCATCCATCACATTTTTTTGGAGACAAGTACTCTGCCTCTAATTAAGGTAGACCACATTACTGGTTGTTAGGATGATTTATTAAGATTATAAGGCAGGGGTCCCATTTTCTTCTCAAAGCTAAAGTGCCCGTAACAAAATAAAACATTAGCATGTTAGTCTCTAGTGTGCTTGTGGCATTGAATGAAGTTAACCCTATTTTTCATCTCCCACAAAACGAGACAAAATATGACGTTATTTTATCTTTTCAGTTGAAGTTAGTGAAGTTACATCTCATTATAACCTAGCTTATCACCATGGAAACCACTATTATTGCCATAGCAACCACCTCATCGATGCTTTTTATATGCTGTTAATGTTTATTACACTCTTTCGTTGCAAACTGACCTTGATATTTTAATCTCAAGGTCACAGGATGAGATGGTAGCAAAATGTGACAATATATGTTCAACCTATGAGAGTTCAAAGTTCACTTCTTTTAAGAGGTCAAAGTTGACTGACTTTAGAAGTGATACAAATTCGGAGTTAATACAAGGGTTGATTTTTGTCAAGTTATTTGAAAGTATTTACATGGCCATCCTATTTATGTTATTTGGTTACAGTGTACGCATAGATTGATTAGCTTTCATTTCATTGGACAAATTTCATTTATTTTATCCAATCATATTAAACATATCATGTATGTATGTAAGCCAATCATGTTATTTTAATATGTTTTGTTAATATTTTTTTTTCGTTATGCTATGAAAAAACCTTGTTTAATTGACTGTAATTAATAATAATTTATATTATTGTACTATTAATATACATTTAATATTATGTTAGAACCACAGACACTTGCCTTTTTGATAATCAATTCACATTAATTGGAAATATGCAGGGCATTTTACTCTCAACCCCAAGTAATATGTGTGCTTATGAAGTCTTATCAATTTTTTAGAAAAATATATTGAAATGAAATGGGTTTTTATAAATTATTGAGGGTGTAACATGCCAGAAAATAAGTCAATTATAGAGTTACACAGTCAATCTTTATCTTTTGAAGCATATTTGATCTGTAACACAAACTTACATTCCTGGTTTTAGTCTTCTTAATTACTATGTGAATAAAACCTTTCACCCTTTAATTTGAATATGTGTGTTGTTTTGTTGGTTTATTGGCCCTTGAACTTTATTCTAGACATCTGCTTATTCTGTTGATGAAAGACTTCTTGATAAGAACATATCATTTTAAAGAATGGTGCATTGTATATGGAATAGGGCAGTCATATTAAAATCATCTTAAAGTGCAATGAATTGTAACATTTTTGAACAAAATTTTGATAAATTTTTAAGTGATATCTTGAAAGGCAAAATATGAAATATTACCAGTATATTTGGATATGTTTTGATTGTACGAAATAATGATTTATTTTATAGGAGATTAAGATCTTAATAGTGCTAATCTAGGCAGTCTTATTTCAGTTGTTTGTCAACCTTTATCAGCAGGAAAATGTTTTGCATAAGAGCTCGGTTGTTTATTAGATTAGACATTTTACTCTTTTCAGAGTTATTTTTTTTTAAATTTTCATACTTGATATTTATGCATGGAAAATGAACAAATTTATTTCACTTTAATGCGTAGATTATTGACTGGCTGGTAATTTTCACTGATGGTCATTTTGATTGTCGGTCAGTTATGACTCGTACATACGAGTAATTGAAAGCCAGAGTAGTAAGGTTGTACCTGATATCAAGCATATCATTAGTCTTTATAGCTCCATCCCAAATTATATTTGTTTTGACTGCAGCTGCAGCGGATGTAAAAAATAGGTTTGACCTTTGACACTACACAGTGAATGCTTTTTTGTCAAGACCAATATTCATTGCAGTCAAGGTGAGATAATTTAGGCTGGAGCAATTGAGATGAGCATATCATTACCTTTTCTTATCATTTTAAACTTTAAAACTGTAGCATGTTTTTTTTTATTAAATAAGCTTTAAGTCTGTATTTGATATATCTTTAAACACATTGCTTGCTCAGTTTTATATAAATCATTTTTATAAATATATTCCTTATTCAAACATATTGAGGTTCTGTTTTGAGAAACATGCATCTGAGTTGTTGAGTCTCTGGCAAGTACTAATGCGATAAGTTGAGTAAATTGTAAGAAATATTAATATATTTGAGGGTCTGTTGAGTTAAATTGTCAACTATATATATTTTTATTCTTTCTTTGTATCCCATGTAAGCCTCTTGTGAGTGAAAATACCTAATGAAGGATTACCACTATTTTTAATGTGATAATAATTTTGTTTTGAATTTTGTTTGAAAAGATTAAAATTTGACAAAAACTATTCTTGGTGCCTGTTGTCATATATTTGATCATGATTTACTAATTAGGAAATAATTTGATATAAATAACACTGTACATAGAGCAAAATATGTATAAATCTGACTGTGAAAGATTTCAATTTTAGTTATTCCATTTAGTTATGGTAGTATGATAGAGTGACTGCCCCTTAATCTTGTACATTCAATCTGTCACCAGGGTGCAGTAGTTGTCTTGTGTTATTTTTAGGGTATTTTAGAGGGAATTTTGTTGTTGAAATTTTTATATCTATGAATTTTGTGAGTAGTTAAAGTAAAAAATATTATAAATTCCATTTTTTTAGTGAGAAATTACTCATTATTTTTTAATGCTATTCTTATGTTGATTTTTAGGAAGATAAATTAAATTGTTTTAAATATGGGGGTCATTTTCATAAAACTTAAGTTTTTCTGTAAAGTTATTTAAAAGTTTAATGTTTTTCACATGAGAAATAAATAGCTTTCAAAAAATACATCCATACAGTATTTTATTAAGATGACCCCTATTGAATATGAAAAGGATGATTTCTAAATCATATTATCTTTGTCTGATTTTGAAATATGTATTTCACTGTAAATGAGAATAAAACCTAAAAAATGAATTTCTGTGAATCACAGGTCTTACATTTTGAAATTTCCAATCATATCTGTATTTTGATACTTGGGACAAAAACTGAACTTCTGTGTACAAATTGGTAATGCACATAAATGACGTCACAGCAGTTGGGAAATTTGACTTGCATTGTGTTGAGACATTAAATCCCTTTCCTTTACAATCTTTTGGAACAGGAACATATACAGAAACCTACTTTATAGCAATGAGGCTATATTGGTTCCAAATGTTTATTGAATTTGGTAAGAGTATGATATGATTTACAAACCAAATTACCTATGTATGTTGAATTTGGTAGAGTGGAATATGATTTAGAGATCACCTATGTAAAGAGGAAATGGAAAATACAGGATCTATATGTAATATATAAGTTCTCTATATAAATACTATTATTATAACTATCATATTTTAGCTGCCTTTTGTAATATAACTACTTCATGATATAATTAAAATTATAATATACACAAAGACTAGACTTGTTAATGCTCGTGGAAGGGATCTCTTAAGCTTTGCTAGAGGACCATGCAATGTGGCTATGTCAAGCCAGACAAACAAGATTAGGTTTTGCCACCTTCTATTAAAACCTTGTCAGAAACATAGCATTCCATGTTAAAGAAGGGATACACAGCTGTGCTTAGTAGAATGGTTACTTTAAAATACATTATGGGAGATAAGATAAAGAGATGGCAGTTCTCGTTATAATAGTTAAAAACTAGATTGTGTAAAGGTAATTTGCTGAAAATTCCAGTCAAATTGATCCACTACGAGCCTCGGTCATCATTACTGAAATCATTAATATAAACAGCATAGTCTCGATTATCCACTTTTTTTAAATTTAATTATCAATGGCCGTTAGCGGCATATAGGAATCTAATCCAGCCAACATCGAAGGCTAGCCTTGACATCGAGAGTTTATTATGGTCTGGATAAGTTAATTAATGTCTAATTGATAATTTAGGTAACATTTCAGGCCTCAAGGAAGACTTGTAATAGCAGATTTTGCTCTTGCATAATGCATGTTTAACTCGGTGAGGTTCTTGCATCTTCCATTGCCATCCTTTATTGATAAAAGTCTTACTGGATTGAATGTGTTTTGTGTGTCAAATAAGAGTTGGATTTGACAAACAATACGACTTTAATAAGTCAGATTGAAGTTAAACAGAGGTGACCTGCATGTATTTGTCAGTTGGCATTGTAGTTGTACAGCAGTGTAGCAAGGGATAAATATTCAGGTTTTGATGACAAAGGAAATTACTTTTGATTTATGACCCCCAACAATTAGCCAGATAATCCCAGTAGTTTAAAAAATAATATGACAAGTTTTAACAAGTGTTCATTGCAGTTCTCTAAACATGTCAAACAGCATCATGAAAAGGGATGTCATGAATACCAATTCTTTGCATTGGCATGATTCTGTCAAGGGTAATGGGTTAAAATAAAACCATTTACAGATATATAGAATCTTATTTAATCCTCCAATATACATCTGATATTTAGTAACATGATTTAATTTATTAACATAAAATCATTTAATCTATTAACATATGTAAAAATAATCAAATTTATTAACATGATATTTATGTTATATTCCCTAGCGACACTAGTTACATTATCCTCAAACGGGTTAAAACAAAACCATTTACAAGTATATAGAATCTTATTTAATCCTCCAATATACATCTGATATTTAGTAACAACATTTAATTTATGAACATATAAAATCATTTAATCTATTAACATATGTAAAATAATCAAATTTATTAACGTCCTATATTATCAAAACATTTTTCTCACTGCCAACCACATTTTACAACCTTTTGTCTTGGCCATTGGGTTTGGCAATAAAAATTGTTCATGTGCTCTTGAAATACACATCTGACTAGTCTGTTATATCAAAATCAGTATTTTACATGTGGTTTAGTGTTTGAGAGCAAGACATCAATTTAATTAAGGCCCTACAAATATAATATTCTGGTTCTCAGACAATCCTTCCAAAAAATCTGAGGGAAGTTTCTATTTTTGTGTTTTTATTTTGTCAAAGGATCACTACTGGGCTAAATGAATTATCACATCATATTTCAAGGCAGGACATTTATTTGATGTCGTTTATGATTATCTAGTGTCATTCACAATTGTCAGTACCATTAAGCTATTATTGGTTGAATAATGAATATTCACACCCATACCCTAATTAAAGAGGTGTTATTGATATCATGCATTCAAGCAATCATAACAATAAATTACAAATGGAAGATAAAGAGCTAGTCATGTAAATAAAATCTAATAACAAAAAACTTAAAAAATAATCAGTAAAAACAAAAATAATTTAAAGCTGTATTTCAAATAATCATTCGCCCTTTACATCCTTGAACAGTTACTAGTCTTTAAAATAAAAAAAAAACAAAAAAAAAACATTCTAAGCCATACAAAAGTTACAGATAAATGAGATGGGGTATAAAATGCTCCAAAAATATATGTAGCATGACAACTCCTATCCCTTGAAACAAATTGGAAACTGTTATGGAATTGAACTACAGCTTTTTCCCCAAGATCTATTCATCTAAATAGATGGTTACTTAATGGCTTACAATATCTGTGTCTTGTGCTAGTTAATGTTTGTATGTGGTGTGATCCCCACATGCTTCCTATTATTGTCAACAATACATTATCATACCCCTGGAACTGAACAGGCTACAAAAACAATCATTCATTCAGAGTTAAAATAAAAGGAAATCTAAAAGACATTTGCAAACTATTTTAAACATTAAAGCAATACATTCATGTTATGCATTAAACAAAACATCTATCTTTTAAATGATATGTCTACAGTCATTTTTCTTATCAAATAAAATTACTCTAAATTTGGTTAAGTTCAATGGTTTAAAATTGCTAGATCTCTTTGACTTAGATCAAAAATAAAACAGTTGATTTCATTGGATTTTATGTGTTAAAAAAAAAAGAATTTAATCATATAAAAACCATACCCCATCACCAATAGGCAAAAATACATCAGATCAACTCAATTTTATACTTTACCCAATTTTACCCAAATCAAAGAGGTTTAACTCCTTTTAAGACTACAGTCACACAAATATTTCTCATTAATTTTCATTCATACTAAAGTTAATACAACCAATTTGGATAAAAAAAAGTATCCTTATATTAAATTTAATTAAACCTACATGTATTCTTAAACTACATCTACATCTACATCAAGTAAAATATAAAATATTTACAAATATTACACATTCTCACCTTAAAGATAATTTTAATGCTATGAGTAGTTTGACAATTACATATGTTTATAGTATATAATTAAATCTTGAACATTTCATCCTCCCATTACATGAAGCTATTAATACATGTCCTTTACTATGCATTATATATAATATAAAACTTTTGATGAATAAATTATTTGCTAACAAGAGGGCTATATTTGTTCATGGAATATGGCCGCCATATTACTTTTGAAAAACAAAGAAAGTATGATTTTTATTATTGCATGAGATTATATCATTACAAATTTAAAACTAAAAATTGATTAAAAGCTACATATAATTAACAATTAATTAGGTACAATTTTTATTATTATTAAAATGTCTTGTCAAAACTATACTTAATTTGAGATTAACATGTGGTTTATTTTATTGCAATGGTTACATTATAACTGAAGTTTAGAGATCAACAAGCAGCTGGTGTGGTAAATTTGAGAACATAAATACATGTCTCTTCTTCTTTTATTGTTAATGGTAAATCTTGTAAACCACAGAAAAATCGAATCTAAAAAAAAAATAATAATATAAGTGAATATTCATAAAACAGTTAATAAAGACTTCAATGTCTGGCTCTTTCCCTTGTCTTTTTTATGGTAGCTGTCATTTCTTTTGGAAGATTTTGAGACTTTTGAAAATTATCACACAACTGGCATGTATTATATTGTAGGCCAATTGATTTCATGCATCATCTGCCTAACCTTTAGAGATCTCTCTATGGACATCTGCTTACTTTAATCCAATAGCTTGCACACAGGGGTGTCTACAAGTGGGTGAAATCCAGTGTAACCAGGGATGTCAAATTTCGCTGTTTAAATTTGGCCTAGTTCCGGCTATTTTTCAGTATTTAATTTTAATAAACTAATTTTACGTAATATTAATAAACCAATTTAATCCCTAAATGCCAACAAACCTTGGGCATAATTATATGGAGTCGGCAAATCTTATTATAACGGTAAACCACATAACCGATTAATATTGGGACACTCTCTTAGATGTATGTCAAAGTCTTCATTTTTGATGTTATGATAATCAAAACTGTGAAAATGACTTCCACCAAGGAAGCGAAAGCAGGGAAATTTAGACTGCTTTATTAAACAGCAGGAAAAAAATTATTAATTTTTCGAACCATTATTATTTTTCGGATTTTCCTGAAAAAAAAAATGGTTCGAAAAATTAATAATTTTTTTCATGATGAACAAGGTATATTATTTAAAAATAACATATGTTATACTATAGGCGATATTAGCTACAAGACACTGCGACAGTACGTCGATGGCCCAGCTACACGGCTACTCCACTAAACATGTATTTTCTTTCATTTTTGATGTCAACAGTCTAATTTGAACTGTATACAACATTGTATATGTGATAAACAGCTTGTTTTATTTTTTTTTTGGATATAACATTGATCATGAATTCACATATTAACAAATATAGGATATGAAAACAATCAAAAGCTTATTTATTAAAGTCATCTCCCTAGCATACTTGTATTGAACAATCTACAATAGAAATGTTCAGCATGCACCACAAGCTTTATTTTAGGCCTAATTCCTGAAAAAAAAAAAACATGCCCCTCATGCTTCCGGCACCTTTGGCGCCTCGCAGATATGAACATTTGCTTCCCCTTACTTTAGAAAAATTTCCTGTTACTTGAAAAGTTAGTGACATCCCTGTGTCAGGCCAACAACCTTATCTTTTGTCAACTTTAAGCATCCGATTACATCTATGAGTAGATGACAGATCATTCGGACACCTATAACCCTCGAAATAATAAAATTTACCTTTGTGATTCGAGCCTTTCCACCTGGACACAACCTAATATCACCATCTTTCATCAGTAAAACATAATTCCTACGTTCTAGACTCTTCCATACAGGATTACGACCCAGGTTAAAACTACTGTGTGGGAATTCATCCTGGGTGATGGATTTAAATGGACAAATTTTATACTCATATTGGTAAACTTTTAAATCATAGCATTTTTCACTCAATAAAAAAAATACATTTTCTGGTCCGTATTTCTGAAATGATCAAATACCAAATATATGAGTGAAATATAAAAAATATGAAACAAATATCAAATATTGGATTTTAAGTAATAACTGAAAAATTTTTTTTTTTACAATTTTGTTCAGTAATCAATTCATACACTAATGAAATTCAGTCTCATCATTGCGACAATTATTCACAGAACTGTATACTCATTGGTCCATTTTACACCTTGAAATTATCACTACTGTTAATAGTAGCTACAGTAGATGACTCCTTGGCATAAAATTATTCAGTGGAAGGCCTTACTCAATGTCTGACTAATTGACTTTCAGGTATCTGAGCTGTGTAACCAAAATGGATTGTAAGGGGTCTACAACTTGAGAGTATTTTGACATCTGAGCCTCATGACTAACCTGTTAAAGATCTTATAGACTTTCCATCATCAGAGCCATATGGTAACTTACTGTAGGATTTATGTGCGATCAGACATGTGGGACTAATTTTTAATTAAACATACAATATGCATAAGCTAAATCTGCCTATTGCAAGTCTTTCTTTAGGCCTAAAATGTTATCTAAATTATTAATTAGACATTAATTAACTTATCCAGACCATAATCAACTCTCTATGTTATCGATAGTCCTCTGTATTTACTGGATTAGGATCCGATCTGCTGCTCTACGCTCATTCATGATTAAATCAAGAAATGGATAATCGAGACTATGTATTTTATTGTACCGACTTCAATAATGATAATCAAGGCTAGGCCCAAAATTCAATCGGTAAATTCTCGGTTCATAGTGGATCAATTTGACTGAAATTTTCAGCAAATTCCCTTTACATTATCTAGTTTTTAACTATTATAGTGAGAACTGCCAGCTCTTTATAATTATCTAATCTCCCATAATTTATGGGTCTCCATACTAAATGAGCATTCAAACTACATGTAATCATGTATAGCAAATCAGAATACGACATTATTCCACTGTACAGATTATTGTTCAGTCAAATCCATTTTATTGTTCAATTATCAAGACAGCCCAAAACGAATATGCTGATTTAAGAATCCAATCTATTCAATCTGTAGAATGCAAACAAATTGGGTAGCGATTATATTTTCTGCAGCATTCCCAATTTTTCATCATCTTGCAGAAATATTTATCATGCTTGACCAAGATCATAATTCGGTTATTGGAGACCGTACAATGCTCTAGCAAATTAATTCAAATAGGCAAGCACTGTCCTAAGAGTCAATGAGAGACCTCTGTTGATTGGCTTTATAATGCAGACAGGTCCAGAACATCTCTAAAAAAAACAAAAACCTGAAAAAACCCACATAGTCGCATTGACCTATAATCTGCATCACTTCTGACATTGCCCAGACAGACCTAACTCCCAACTAATATAATAACAGAAGTTTAACTTACAGTATCTGTGCTTAGATGTTTAGCTGCCGATAAATAATTCTGTCGTAATTTAAGACCCATTCTAAGCACTCGTTGTTCTTGAGCTTTATTACGTACATCGTTCTGACAAATGTTAACACACGGGGTGTGAGATACGGAATACTTCTTACTGTCATCTGTAAAATAATACCAAACTTTATTAAATGTATAAACACATAACCAGAGATTCCAAGTCATATCTATAATTGAAATGAAATGGGGTTTAAAGGAGCTAAATCGCTAATATTTGGGACCTAGAAATTGACCCAAATGGGTCGCAACGCATATAATAATGTAATCTGATGGTATGTAAAATGATTTACATTCAATTGTTTCCGTTTTGACTCTAATTTCAAATCAGTTACTTCCAGAGAAATACGGCATGAGTCTCAGGCGATTTGCAATTTCTAGTGTCTGGTTATTCCAGTCTATTGTGCATGCTCTACAGATAAGATATGGCGTACCTTTTGACATGAGATGTGGAATATGTCTAGCCTCGTTCTTTCTGGTCACTTGTAACAAATGACGCTGAACCGCTCTATGGTACATTTTCCCAGTAAGATCACAACATCAATGTTTTCCGAGGACAATTTACCCCAGACAGAGCTGTTATGGCCTACTCTATTTTTCCATTTCCAACTAATGGGGATCTTTAATGTGCTACCAACCATATGAATGGGGTTTAGTGTCTTACGTTTCTGCACCAACCAGGTTTATGAAGATGAGCATACACCATGTCTGCTGAGGAAAATTTAGCCCAGACAGTGGCGTTATAGTCTACTCTTATTTCCATTTCCAATTAATGGGGATCTTTAATGACAACGGTATGAACGGGACCTTGGTCGACTACACACTTTTCCTTTCCAACCCCTCTGTCTTAAACCACCATCAACAGACTAATAAATTTCTGTAAAAAAAACACTTAAAAGATATGATTTCATTTTCTTACCAACTATGCGAATATTGTCAGGCACTTTATGATTGGCCCATTCATCACTTCCATCACAACAATCACATATCCCATCATTCACTTTACTTCCTGTTATGAATAAAGGCTCTTCGCCTGGCATCTGATATTTACAATAAAATCTACAAACACAGAATGGCAGTCATTTAGGGGAATAGAAATGTTGGGTTTACAATCAATTTGACAAAAATGGAGGGTGTATTTACCAAATCAAAGTTAACACTGACCAACGTTTTTTTTTTTCTGAACATAACAGAATAACCTTTGATTTCCAGGTGACATGCCCAAGTGCGTATACCAAGTTGGTATTTAAAAGATTCACAGATTTATATCCAAACATTTACATTGATATAAGATTTAGATTTATCATGAGGCATGGACTTCCTACCAGTCAATGTTGCACATTTTTTAACGTTTCTCGCAAACCAAGATTTAATAAATGTATTTGAAATTTGCGCGTGTTGTTATCTCTGTGACCATCAAATAATAACATTTATGTAAATGGTGTCCCGTGTCCTGAATCTGATGTATATGTATGAAATATCAAACCACAAATAAATGTTATTATTTGATGGCCACATCCATAACGACAGAGAGCAAATTTCAAATCAATACTTAAAAATATCAGATTGATTGGTTTGCAAGAAAAGTGACGATTTATAACTTCTGGTGCCATGATAGAATGTTCTAGAACCAAATTATCCAACACAAGTCCCGAAAAAGGTGTCAATTGAATAAACATGCAAAATGATATGCAATGAAATGATAATGAAATGGGTTAACGTCCTACTGTTCTGCTCCGAACTGGGCTAATGAAGACGGGCAAAATGATATGCATCGGTTGAATACGATACTATCTGACCAACCACTTTACTGAAACTTCACAATTCTTTTCACACAACATCAGTTTTGGGGCGGACAAAAAAAATGACAGAACAATTTGGCATCTCACACAAATTGGAATAATACTGCACTGTATAAAAGTTAACAAAAAATGACTTTAACTGGTGAAAATGACTTACTTGGAATGTGGACAAGCATTTGTACCAGGTTCATCTGATGAATCAGCACAATCACAATAGTCATCATTTAACTTACTATACTCTATCTTTACCTTCAATAGAAACATATACATTTTAATGTCTGTTAAAGTCACCTTGCAAACCCCAATATTGTGAAAGCTCAATCTCTAAAAGGAATAAATGTCCAAAAATGATCCGATTCTATTAAAAACTATGATGAATTTTGTTTCGTTTTCGTTGATGACATTTGGCTCACTGGTAGCATTCGTTACAGCATGGCTTGTCATAGAAACATGTGTAGTAAATTCTTTGGTATTAGCCGATGTTAAATAATCAAACTTATTTTGTATTTAAAAATCCAAGGATATACTTTCATATATATATATGATAACTAATCATTTTTAACAACCAGTTAACCAGTTCAATAATTTTTGAACTGCTACATCCTTAGATTATGAAACCCAGGACCTCTTTGTTAATAAGCCAGTTCCATAATTGGTAAGCTATCAAGGCTTCCAATCTGTGAAATAAGGTTTTGAAATGTCCCTCCTTTGTATTATATTTTACCTGATTCGCAATATTGGTTGACAAGGATAATTATCTTTAAAGCCAATCATATTATTACCTTAGTAATAAGACAAGTAAACAAGCCTTGTTTATCAGGCTTATAAACATTTAGATCTTTCAAATGAACACCAGTTAGTAAACTCTTTGATTCTCGATCATCTTTCTCAATTTTAGCTTCGGCAATGGCCAGCTCCTTTGCAAATGTCTCACCATCATCAATATTGCCAATATCTTCTAGAGTATATTCTGGTATCTGGCGACTCCAGACATTCAGACGATTTAATGAGAAAAACTGCAGTAAGAAGAAAATGACCGCTATTGCAACAATTATCCCGATAGTTTTATATTTTCTTTTACACAAATATCTGACTTTCATTTTCCTCATCTTCTATCTCATCATCCGTCATGTCGAATTAACAATCTAGATTCAAATTCTTGTCTGAAAAAAATAGTTTCAGATGTTAAAATTATTGATATTTCCATTTTGTTTGTAAATAGAGATAATATTATCTGACAAAAATACATTGCATGGTCGAAATATTCATATTCGTTAATTTTTGTTTGCAAGAATCCACCGGGGACCTGAATAGAAAAAAAACAACAATTATATAAAAACACTTTTCATTTCATCCAGATTTTCCGGTGTGGTTCCTCCTTGTCAGTGATGCAGGGCGGAGGGCCTGACAAGGACAGCTGTCTAGTCCTTCGGATGAGATGAATAACCGAGGTCCCGTGTATACATTGGAATGCACGTAAAAGATCCCTTGGTAGTTGGAATTTGATATAAGAGTAGACTATAGTGCCGCTGCCCAGGCAAAATTTCCCTCATAGCACACTGTATGGCGTATGCCGTCTTCATTAGCCCAGCATAGAAGCAGAACAGTAGGACGTTAAACCCCATTTTATTTCATTTCTGGAAAAAATAAACACAAGCAGGATGTTGTGTTTTAGTGGACCGTCTTTGTTTGTCAGTGCATTTCATTGCTGTTCAATGATGGATAACTGAATACTGTACATTGTTTCCTACATCATGTTGGCCTAGTACATATAAGCTAAAAAGATCATATGGAATTTATCTCCCGACACATTTCATTACCTGAGTATGAAATGTCTGGAGGAGTTTGGGTGCAGGTTGATAGAGAACTTAGAGCAGGCGTGGGATGAAGGGGAATGCTCACTGGTCCGCGGGTGAACTAGTCTGTGGGTGCACTAGTCCGCTGCTAGGAAAAATACTATTAATATGGGTATCAAAAAACTCAGCAGGTATGGTGGCTGACTGGTATCATATCGTGATGTCGCCCTTCATAAGGCGACAAGCCAGCAACCCAGCAACCCAACATCACAACATTTTAACCCGACATCAGGACATTTTAACACGACAATACGACTTTTCACCCAACACCACGACATTTAAAATGTTGTAATGTCGGGTTAAAATGTTCTGATGTCGGCCATCTTCCTCTTTATAGTATGATTATTTACAATGATCCTGGTGCTGATCAAGAAAATTCCCTGGGATTTTGCTGCATGGTTTCTTCCGGTCGGTAGTGCAAAATGAACATTCTGGCAAAGGATAGTGTCTATTAATAGAACACAATTTTTATGGGAAAGTGTCTAGTTGTGTAGATAGGACAAAAACATTTTAAGCCCCTGTGTACACATTGGCATGCACATAAAAGAATCCTTCACATTTAGAATTCGATGAAGAAATGTATTGTTCATAAAAAATTTCCGTCACAGCACTCTGCATAGAGTATGCCTATCTTCAATAGTCCGATTGGCTGCACTACCGAAAGGGAGAAACAATGCCGCAAAATCCCGGGGAATTTTCTTGACCAACACCAGGATCAGTGTACATAATCAAACTGTAAATGAGGAAGATGGCCGACAAGCCGATATCACAACATTTTAACAGGACAAAACGACATTACAACATTTTAATGTTGTAGTGTCGGGTAAAAATGTTGTATTGTCGGGTTAAAATGTTGTGTTGTCGTGGTGTCGGGTTAAAATGTTGTGATGTCCGCGGTTATGAAAGACGGCATCACGACATGATAATGATAATCTGCCACCATGGCATACCTGCTGGGTTTTTTGATACTAATATTTATAGTATTTTTTTTTAGCGGCGAACAAGTGCACCCGCGAACCCCATATATATTTATCATTAGTTTGAGCGTATCCCGGTTGCCACTGAATAATTCTGTATCATATTAATTTCGGTTCGTTAAGATTTGTCACAAAGATGACCGAAGAATCGATGCGAAAACCATATTACTGTTATTTTCTGAAGATTGAAAAATTCTTCCATGGATGGCGCCATTTTGAATCATAAGTCACGTGACAGATGTACAAAATTTTCCAAAATGCAATTCGCTGATCTTTGTGATCAATATTATTGAATTTACATTCTACCAATTTATATTTTTTTAATTTGCAATAAGCGTTGTTATCTTTCAAGTTTGAATCTCCTCGTGAAAAACTGCAAAAAAATTATAGGAAAGCAGATCAGAAGACCGAATAATCTGGATGAAAACATATTTCTACTTTTGCTAGTGTGTTAATCGAGACTAATGTAAAAGCCAGTCACAACTTCCGCCTTGCCCCTGTCGGCCATTAAAATTCTGATAAGAAAATGTCACTGTCATTATGTTGAAATAGGTGTATTTGTCCTGGAATAAGGTGAAAATAATGTCGCTGCGAAAAAGTTAAAATATATATTTATATTTATAAAGCATTCCTTGGTCAAAAGGTGAGTATTTTACTGTTCTATTTTTTTCTGTGAAAAGTCGGTAAAGGACTGTTTTGATTTTTTGTTTCGTATTATTTTCCTTGAAGTCTAGGCCTAGCCTAAATTGTTTTGATGTTGTAACCGTGGGCGTTTTGTGATTGCGTAACATACAAATAATACAAATTCAATAACCTCGAATAACAAAGATAAATTGATCCCTGTTTATTAGATTGGGATCCATTCAACATTTGAAATTACACAGACGGAAGAATACTGATTTTTTTCATGATGATGTGTAGGCCTAATTAGCATTTTTACTAATTTTTAGCCATTTATTTTTAATTAGCACTTTCTTCACAGGAATTTGTATTTGGCTTCTTATGTTTTTTCAGTTGTTAATAGGCCTAGTTACATTTCATATTATCAATATATATGTAAACTAGTTAGAAAAAATAACACTTTGACAACTGCCGTTTGACTGTCGATCAGGGTTCCATCATGACCACTCGGTCTCGGACCAAGTCCAAAGACCACTTGGACCAATTGATAGACCACTCGGACCAATTGATAGACCACTCGGACCAAACAAAAAGACTACTCGGGCCAAACCAAAAGACCAACTGATAGACCACTCGAACCAAACAAAAAGACTACTCGGGCCAAACAAAAAGACCACTCGGACCAAATACAGAAAGGCACATCGGTTTTGATGCAAGGCCTATGTAGGTAGGCTATTAGAAGACTACATATGGAATTTACTCTGGTTGTCGGCCTAATTACACAATAACCTTTATACCTGTTTGCAAAACAATGATTTAGCTCACCCACTTGTTTATCAAATTTCCGAAATGCCATCATGTCTTCATTAGCCCTGTCGGTGCAAACAAGTAGGACGTTAAACCCCACTTCATTTCATTTCCAAAATGATCATGTAGTGCACAATGCATAGCGAAAACCCTAATTTGATACAGAGGATGGGTGGCCAAATTGTTAAATGTGTGCGTAGATCACAAGGCGTGTCATTGAGTCAGGTGGTTTAGTTTTGACGGGTGCCAGTAAAGTCATCTACAAGGCATTGGTGATGTCGTCCACAAGGCATTGGTGATGTCATCCACAAGGCATTGGTGATGTCGTCCACAGGGCATTGGTGATGTCGTCCGCAACTAATAATTGGTGACGTCGTCCACAACTACATGTAATACTTGACTTGTACTCAACTTATTTGATTAGTATTAACTAACGATGTTTTTAAATAAAGTATTTTCGTTTTGTTTGTTAATTGCCGTTATGTATTGGACGTTAAATTTGTAATATAATCAAACACTATGAAAACCAGGGCGGATGATATGTCATACAGTGTGCTATGACGGAAATTTTGCTTGGGCGGCAGGGCTCTCGTTAATTTTTCACAGTTGATTACAGCACTGCTAATCAAAAAGTCCAATTTTGCCAAATTTGATTAGCAAATTTAAAAATTGATTAGCAGTTTTTCAGTTTCAACATAAAACACTGAAATAACAAGATATTACTTTAATTCATAAAAAATGATTAGATTTCATTCTTCAATTTTTTTAGCACAGGAACATGTAGACTTTTGGTTAGGTCTTAAGTCTGAAGCCAATTCTTGGCAGTGGCTTTTTATTGTGTATTACTATTTTTGTTCAATTGGACACACCTCGAGGAGCTAGACACACGCGATATAAACAATATTTTACGTGAATTCTTACTTTGATTTATCATTTTATAAAACGTTAAGATATATTTATTTTTTTATATTTTATTTACAATATGTGGGGGATACACTGGATTTATTTCTTTCAAAATGAATACGGATATAATTACTTGAAATTGACATGTCTCGCAATGTGAGTTGTACTACATGATTCCGTATTTCCGGTTTAATAGTCCCTATTCATAGGGTTATGTCCCTGTATTATATAGCATAATGAATTGTGTCTGGGTAGTTCAAGAAGAAAATGTCACACAGAGAATTCAGTTTTGTTTATAAAATTTTATTTGACATTTTATACACGTTGAAAGTGTTGAGAAAGCCTTCTTGTCTTCAAAAAGTGAATAATCTTTCTTTCAATATCCAAAATGACAGGCACATTAATGATTCGCAGTTGCTGTGACTCAAAAATGTTAGATTCTAATTTTTGATTACCAACGAACAAAATATGTATCACAAATTGCGCTGCGATACTGGTTGTCGGCACTATGGACTATTCTTACATCGAATTCTAACTGTCAAGGATCTCACGCCAGTGTGTCCACAGGACCTTGGTTTTTGATACCATCCGAATGACTAGACAGATATCCTTGTCAGGTCTTCCATCCTACACCACTGACAAAGGAAACCACGTTAGAAAATACTGATGAACTTTCTCGGCCGATGAAGGGATAGAACACGCGACCTCCAAGCTAGCGAGTCACTTAGTAAACTGTGCCGTGTATTCCTTGATTATAATGTTTAGTTACTGACAGTATTAAGAACTACATGTAACTCTGAGCATTGTTTGGGAGGTTACTGAGGTAACCTGTTGAATTTTCATGTAAAGACAAATGCATATTGCTACAAGAATTTTCATGTAAAGACAAAGGCATATTGCTACAAATTGGACTGGACGTTTTACCCAATACCAAAAAATAATTGTACAACCCCATATATCTTATACATTGTACTTCCAATACTTTACAATCTGATTAAACTACAGATCCAAATTTCTTTCTTTTTTTTTAATTTAAATACTTCATATTGATCTGAATAATCTGTGAAGGAAGGAACGTCATTGGTCATGTACATGTAATTGAATACAAATAAAATCAAATGAAACTGAAAAAAAAGGAAACAAAATAGGATAGAACTTTGTTTTAATCATATTGCTTATCTAACACACATCCCAATGCTATCAGAGTTCAAGTTGTTGTTTGCTTAAACTTTAAACATATTGTATTACGGTAATTTAAGGTAAAGGATTATACGATTGTTACGCAAACTAACAAATACACAGAAAAGATTTCTCTAAAACAGTATTGTTCAAAATCTGTTTTACTTGTACATATTGTATAATAATAACCTATCAAAACATATGGTGGATTATTGATCTTGATTAATCTTTCTACTTCATGATGATCCTTGATTAATCTGTCTTATTCAAGACCTTGTTTAATCTCTCTATTTCCATAATTGCTATGATATTTATGGTAAAATAAGTCGGGTAGGCTTACTCTAATCTTATTAGTCTTGTTATTATGTATCTGTTACCGGGAATGCTTATTTGTATGTAAATTTTCTAGAAAACTTGATGTTACTATGCTGTTCAATTGGAGCCACAGTGGCTTAGTGAATATGGCTTAGACTCATTTAACCAGGAGAATCAGTGTTTGTCAGGATTTTCCAGTCTGGTTTCCCTATTTCAATGTCCCTCATAGCTCATACTAGAATAAAGTTTTGGCATGTATCCGGCCTGGTTAGTTCGCTTGGTGCAGAAAAGTAGTGTAGGCTGTAAACCCATTTCATTTCAATTCGTCTTAATCTTTTTTATCCGAATAAGTTATATTCTGAATAAATTGAAATTTTCAGGAAAAGGCTAATAAGTAAACAGAGCATTGTTGATACATGTACATCAATGTTTATGTTTCATGCTCATGTGATATATATGTATATAAGCTTACACAAGGAAGTATTTTAACAGATTTAAATCCTTCTATCATCTTGTTTGTATTATGGGCATGGACAAAAATATTCATGAATCTTACTGATATTCACATTTACGTGTATGTTATAATACCTTACACTGTACATACATTGTATACATGTACTCTTGTATGAATTCAAATCCTACAGGTACATGTATACGTACATGTAGGCCTAGTTCCAGTACCTAGAAAATTCCATCCCTCAAAATTGTTTTTAATGAATTGTTTTGGGATTAGTAAATGTATTTGAAAGAACTACATGTAGACCTGTTTGATGTTGGTGAAAAAAACTTGTTGATATTATGACTGACATACATGCCTGGAAATAACATTTTTAATTGTTCAAAATGTTACTCTCCTTTGAACTAGTACTTGACATTTTGAACTTTGCGTCAGACCAGACGTGTTATAAATTACCATTGGAAATACAGAACAAAATGGAATTCTGTGAAGGTTTTGTCCGTCTGGAGTGACTGGATCTCCCTCCCCCCCCCCCCCCAAAATAAAACCATTTAAAAAAACAATACTTGTTGCGACCACATTTAAAGGGACTATCCCGATTTGAACAGTCTTAAAAATAAAAGTCTAAGTACGTATGAAATTTAAGCTCCAAAATATAGAGGAATGGTGTATTTACCTTGTCTCAAATTTTCTGCTCAAAATATTGAGTCTTTTCTACGTGAATGTCAAAAATGCTTATCCGAACACGTAACCCTTTTAATTTCGGGTCAATTTTTTCCTTGGGTTACTTGATAATCGATTCCCGTTCTTTTAGAGGTATATACAGTAAATGACCCATGTGCTGTACTTGATAACGAAAGGTAAATTTCACCTACACATTAGTTTTATAAAATAAAAGTCTGGTTTTATCCAGATACAGCATAACACAAAATTAAGCAGTTTTATTCTCCAAAAAATTATCGGGATTGGCCCTTTAATGTGGGAAATAGGAAACACTTAAATGGAAATTAAATAAATAGGGCTACCATTAGTAACAGTTTAAGAAACAGGATGTTATTTTATAATTGTGAATCTAAACATATGTAACAGGATCTTAAAAATTTACATACGTACATGTGCATGTATACATATTGGTTACATTTCACAAGGATAACAAGGTGAGGTACTACTCCTATTGTAAATGTACAGTACAGAGAATAATCTACCAGATTTTTCAAGCCCTGTCAACGTTTCTTGTCAAGGATACATGTATGTCGGCAGCCTTATAAAGTTTTTTTTTTTGGATGTAACCCCAAAATAATCTAGTGCTTTGTACAATTTGTTTAAAATCAGATATTTCTCAATTTCATTTGTATTATAGATGTATTTTACCAGAATCAATGTTACTTAACATCTGACAATGAACCAGCCAATGTAACCCACAACTTTTCCATTCACACCATGACATTGTCCACTGATCTGTCTAGACAGCAGTTGTTAGATCTTACATGTAGTGTAGAAAATTAGAACCATCTTCACAGAACCATATAAATTTAACTAGTTTCTACTCTTAAATACTTAAATAAGATTTTTTCAAAATTGGAATTTTAAGAAGAACCACGAGAGATGTGCTGCCACCTGGGTAAATACCCACTTCTCGGTCTGTGCATCAATATGTCTAGTCTCATAATAGCTTGCAGTAATATGTACGTACTTGTGTTGATGATTTTATGAGAGTTTACTATTTGCAAAATATTTTGATAGCCTTTTGAAAAAAACAAAACCAAACTGGAAATGGGCGATCTTAATTACTTGTATATACATGTATACTTGTATACTTGTATTAATGATGATAGTGATTATTATAGTACATGTATTCATCACTGACCAAGTTACAAATGTACTGTGTATACTGTGGACAATTTCTATTGAGTCATAGATTGATGAACAATGCATCATACTTCAGTATCATGTGAAAGATGTAAATATCAGACTTAGCAAAGGGTTTATATTTTTCCTTGGTCGGTAAAGAACAAGAATATTTTGTGCATACTACAAAGTTTAAATTATATGTATGGTATTCACAAGCTGTGACAGATATTTACAGCATCATTACCTACATGTACATGTATCTTCTGTGTAAATGTTAGATGTACAATGTACCCAGTTAGAAGAACGGGTTGTGTGTTTGATTTGTGAACACAAATTTTCCAGATCACTTATTTGTGTTATATTCATAGGTGATGGAATTGCTTTAATATTTATCTCTATAAACTCTGACTGATTGTACATGTATTTTGTATCTATTTCAGTATTACAATGAAGAAGGACAGTGAAGTAGTTTCTACATCGTCTGGACAATCTCGCAATTCGGATTATAAAAAAGGCTCGTCATTTTCCTTGAGGAGGATTTTCAGTGGACAGAAAAAGCGCTCAAAATCACACAGCAGTTTGGACTCGGACTCGGCTCGTTCGGAAACAAGTTTAAATGTTTCTAACGAGAGTTCAGCGGGCTTGTCCCAAGCATCTGGCTTCCAAAGCACATGTTATGCCCAAAAAAGGAAAGACAATATGATAGAATGTCCTGTATGTCTGACAGATCAACCAACTGAAAATTTTCAAGTTGTGATGACATGTCATCATCGTACATGTCGAGACTGTTTACGTCAATATCTACAGATAGAAATCACAGAGAGTCGAGTTAATATCGCTTGTCCTGAATGTAGCGAAAAGTTTCACCCAAATGATATTCGGCTCATTCTACAAGACGAAGGCCTAATGGTAAAGTATGAAGATTTCATGTTACGTCGTATATTAGCCATGGACCCAGATACTAGATGGTGTCCAGCTCCAGACTGTGGGTAAGTTACTTCTCAGAAGCCTTATTTATTAAACTATTGAAGATTATTAAACTTTATTGGCTGACAATTTTGTTACAGTCACTTTTAAGAAATTTATGTTTTTGTGAATAAGAGGTCAGGTTGTATTTGCAGAACTTCTAATATTGATTCCATATTTAAATAGTTTGGTCTTTCTTGTACCAGACATAAAAATGTGATTTGAAATTTCATGGAGAACTCTTTCTACCCTTGTACTGAGTTTACTTTCTCTAAAAGTCAAATGTAAATAAGGAAATAACTTAAGACAAATATTACTTTTAACAGCTCAACTGTGAATAACTAATGATGATGAATATATAATGTACCAAGTTTTGTTTTCAATGGTCTCTTTATTATCAATTAGTGACGCAAACCTTGACATGACATAATATGACACTCTTTTTATGCGCCCACATGGAAATGTGGTCGGCGTATATTGCCGTCGTCCCTGTCAGTCGTCCACACTTTCTTGTGAACACTCTACAGACTACATTTATCATTTGATTGCTTTGAAATTGATATATGTTGTTAACATTACCGAGATGAAGAAGTCTATTTAATTTCAATAATTTCCGTTAATTTCTTCTGAAGTTGTGACCTTTGTTTCACTTTATTGCACCCTGTGAATGCTCTAACTACAAAAGTTATCATCCGATCTGTATGAAATTTATGTGCATCATTAGGTAAATGAAGAAACCTTTTGAATTTCAGAAATTTCTGATAATTACAGAGATGTGGCCATTGTTTCACTTTGTTGAACCATGTGAACATTCGAACGACAAAACTTGTCATCTAATCTGTATAAAATTTATATGCATCATTTAAATTAGTGAAACGAAGAAGGCTTTTGAATTTCAGAAATTTCTGTTGAAATTATCTAGAGTTATATGACCCTTGTTTCATATTGTTGAACTATGTGAATGCTCTAACCACAAAAGTTATCATCCGATCTGTATGAAATTTATTAAATATATGCATCATTTAAATTAGTGAAACGAAGAATCCCATTGAATTTCTGTCAATTAATTCTAGAGTTATAGTTATGGCCCTTGTTTTACTTTGTTGAACCTTGTGAAAGCTCTAACAACAAAAGTTATCATCTGAACTGAATGAGGTTTATACATGTTTCATTATTTAAATTAGTAAGACAAAAGATCCTGTCAAATTTTAACAATTTCTGTAAATTACTTCCAGAGTTAAGCCCTTGTTTCAGTTTGTTGAACCTTTGAGCCCTCAAACGACATAATTTATACTATGATCTGTATGAAATGGTCTTGTAAATGTCCCCCCACCCCATTACCTTTCAGATGAATAAATATGCAACAAACCTTATCAACCACTCGGATGATTTAGCTGCTGTGGGTGTATGTGTTGTATTGCCTGGCAACCTATCTTTGTGACTGACATGACCTACATGTACTTGTTCCTTTACATATACATGTACATGTATATATGTACATGTACATTGTAGACCGTATAATATAGAAAGAATTCATATCACTAAAATCATGGCAACATGTACTTGAGTGTTCATACAGTACCAAGTTCAGCATTAATAATAACCAAAATAAAGTAGTGACATAAATTTGACATATTACCATATCTGATTCAGAAGTGATGAATACATTTATGTTCAAAATATGGTTATTACTAAGCTTTTATCAAGCTACATGTACATAACAATACAGATGTGTGACTAGGGCAAATATTGTACGTAGAAATCTTAACACTTGCTGTTTCACTATTTAAATGTTTAAATACTTTTTTATGCTGTAACTTACATGTAGTTATTTTCTTTGGCAAACATCTATACAAAAATTATTGATTTTTACTGAAATCAAAGAATAATTTATACAAAGGTATGTGATAAAAAAAACACTAAAAATTCACTTAAAATTTATTACAAATAAATCAATGATACAACTAAGTAAATGAGATTTGTTATAAATTTTCAAGTACTCCTCATCTTCATGTAACTTCTAGATGATTTTCATGTTAATTTGGTGTAACTTTTTATACGCCCACATTTTCATGTGGATGGTGGATGTATATTGTCATCATCCCTGCTCAACCACAATTTGTTTGTGGACACTGTACAGATACATGTCTATGGTAGCCTATTGTTATCATTCAGGAATTTAACAAAATGTCTTTAAAAACCTAAATAAATGAAATGAAAATGAAAACCAAAGCAAAAGTAAAAATAAAAACAAAGTAAAAATAAAAGCAAAAGTAAAAGTTAAATCAAAAGTAAAAGTTAAATCAAAAGTAAAAGTTAAATCAAAAGTAAAACCAAAATGTAAATTAAAATCGAAACACAAATAAAAAATAAAATAATTTTTATACACCCACATGTGGTCGTTTGCCACAGCCCCCACCGTATGTCCGTCGGTTCGTCGTCCACAATTGCTTGTGAACTATCTACAGACTACATTTATCATCTGATTGTTTTGAAATTGATATTATGTTGTTTACATCAATGAGACGAAGAAGCCTATTTAATTTTAATGATTTCTGTTACATGAGAAATGCTGTTGTCTTGGCAAAATTCTCCTGCTCACATTGCATAAAACATACTGTAGAAATAGAATTTACAGGTACTACATTATGGTTCATGTATACCATATTTAGTATAAAATAAATGACCCAAGTATTGTGTCGACAAGATTTCTAACTTCTAATACTTTGCTTCAGCCCAGAAGTAATGTAACTTGATATTGTATATGGTGTATAATTTGTTGTATATTTTTCAGGTATGCTGTAATAGCAGCAGGATGTGCTGGATGTCCAAAATTAAAATGTGAAAGAATTGGCTGTGATACATTTTTCTGTTATCATTGTAAGCAATACTGGCACCCTAATAAAACTTGTGATGCTGCCAGGGCTGAAAGATCCCCTAATTTACGATCTGGGTCTATTTATAGTCATGAAAACGGCTCACAGAGTAAGTTTACTTTTCTAGTTAAGTTTCTAATAGAAATTAGATTACATACAATTATTCTGGCTGCATTTTGATCTAAACCATCTTTCCATTAAGAAATTGTTTATATAGCAAATCCTAACATTTATATTGAAAGTACATGTATTTCAAATTGGCTGCCTTCAACTTCAAGACATTGAACAACGCTTTATTTCATTTATATATAAAGTTTGTTAAATTGAAAAAGGAACAAAGAAAGATCTTATTAGCTTATTTAGGCATACAGGTGCATGTCATGATCAATTTGTTTACATAAAGGCCACTATTTTAGTCTTGTTTAGTTTCATTTTCCACACACCCCTGCTTTAGTATGACCCTGAAAATTACAGTTAAGTTAATGACAGGCCTCGAAATGTTTAAAAAAAGCTAGCTTTTCTTCATACATGTACCTATCGCTTCAGTAAATAACCTGTCACTCTCAATTATCAAAAAAAAAAACACGTGTCACACATATCCACACATGATATGATACATGTAGGTACACACACTCTTAAATTGTTTACATGTAGGTCTTGACATACATTGCTCCATAAAAATATTGTAATATGAAACCTTTTCATTTCTTCGGCATCAGAATGCCTAATAGTTCTTGAAAGTCGGCAAATCTACTTTGGCTCAACTCGACAAAGATTCGTGCAATTCTATCATCCGTATCCACATGAATTCCGCCAAGTATCATGGTACCACAACTTGTGTACTAAATCTAATACTTCGCCATTGAGGTGCAGAATTCAGATTTTAAAACATCCGTAATAAATTGAATATCAAAATACGAATCCCACCTGTGCATGACACCGTATTTACATGTACTGTGTGCGAAGGACAGTTAACGCCCCCTGGAATTCCTTTCTCACATATCCTGTCAATATTTACGCTACAAATTACATTTATATGAAATATTTTTCCGACCTTATTATTTGATTTTGTCAAATTGTCTTATAAATTATTCATAGCCTATATTTATGGAAATTGTTTTAAACTTTTTAAATGATTAGATTCTAAATACACCAGGCAACGTGCCATGTGCATTTCCAATCCAGCCACCACTACACAATGTACATGTATATTTACTGTGGTGTCGTTGCGGTAGAATTATTTAAGATGACTTGGGGTGCATTTTAATTTATGTAGATATAATACTTCATAATATGTTATAAACTAGTGTCAAGCAGATGAAAACATTCGTAGATGGTGTGAAATTCATTGTTTACTTCCATTCCAAACTGTGAGAGTAACTGTAGCCTGCGAAATGTAAACAGTGCAAATGACGATTTTTCACGGTATTCGTGCTTAATTCTTGCATTTAGAAACGAATAATTAAATGTATGTGACATGGACGTGATTATTGTGGTCTTAAGTCAATTTACTGAAGATCAAGTAAAATTTAGTCCACCTGGTCCTGTTGTTTTACTTGCTACCTGTCAGACGAAAAAATCGCAGGTCAGCGACAAGTAGACAGGTGAACATTTCGAGCCATGTAATGAAATTGATCAATTAGATGGTGTGCTCTGAATGCTGACACCAAATGAAATATGTCAGTTGTGAATGAAGGTACATGTACAACATCAACAATAAAATGAAACAAAATTGATAATGGATGAATTGATAAAATAAATGTTAATAATAGTTTCTCAAATATAAAAATAATGCAAAGATTACACAAAACTATAAGTTGTTTTGATAAAGTTTGAGGGCAGCATGGCTGAAATAGAAATGACCAAGTTCTCTCTCTCTCTCTCTCTCTCTCTCTCTCTCTGTCTGTGCGTGCCTGAAGTATAGGTACATGTAATATACAGTATAGGTCTAATGTATTTGGGCGTGGGGGGATTCCTACCAACAGTATATGTAGAGTGAAGCTACTGTTTAAACATATACAAACTTGTGTTTCATAAAACATGTAGGCTTACATGTTGCTACAAACATAAAATAAAATTTATCTTTTATATTTACACAGCCAGATATGACTGATTTCCCTTGTAAACAAAAACAGTTAAGAGAACTATCTTATCTTTTTTCTGGAGGAGCATACATGTAAAATATAAATTTACAAGAAAATCATATCTATTTTACTATACTAAACTGGAAGAGCTTAAAAAATTCAGTGCTGCATGCCAAATAAACCTGTTGTGACTGTACTGTAGTGACATTTGCCATTGAAAAACTCCATGGCTTGGGATAAAAAATGTATAAAAAATTGGAATTCTTCAGTACTGGTTTGTGATTTATTCTCTTTTAATAATCTACTTGATGGTTTCTGGATTTAAATAAGTCTATATCTAATATATAGGGACAAAATATATAACTTAATTGATGGACTAAGACTTCCTGGCGAAAAAATAAGAATGGGGACTGAAAACCAAATTTTAAAATATACATGTAAAGGGACTGTGATGTTTGATAGATTTTCTGACTGCTGTATTTATGTTTGTAAATTGTATTGTTTTTTTTTGTACCAACAGATGATATAAAACCTTGTCCTAGATGTAGCGCATTTATTGTCAAGATGAACGATGGTTCCTGTAATCACATGACTTGTGCTGTCTGTGGTGCCGAATTCTGTTGGCTATGTATGAAAGAAATTTCAGATCTTCATTATTTAAGGTAATAACCTACATGTAATACAAACTATTCTAGATTAGCTCATCTGCTTCACTTGGCCTACAGGATTTTAGTCCAAAAATCTCTCAGTAAGAAACAGTTATTGTATTCATGAAATTGAATCCTGTGTTAGACTGGATAACCTGCTCTAATACGTCAGACTCGCCCTACGTCACTCCAGAATAGTGCAGTGACGTAGGAACCAGCTTGACGTCATTTAGAGCAGGTTGTCTAGCCTAATCCTGTGTAAGCTTATCCAGTTCCATTACTAAATGTCATTGAAAGTTTTTATTTTAGGTTTGTACATCAATAATTTTCACTATTATCTGTCACATCTACAAACATAGACGCTTTCCTTGTTTTCCCTTTTGTCATGTCATTGATTGTAGATTTTATTGATTTATTTTCGATTGAAAAGACAAACTTTTCTTAGGATATTTAATTGGTATTATTTACATGTGGATGTTACCTGTATTAAAATGTGTCTGTAACATTCTCAGTCTGGTTGTTGATATTTTTAATGCATGTGACACACAATTACAAATTTTAGATGCTAGTTTGTCAGGTACAATTTACATAATTAATTCCAGGCCTCATAGTGCATGCTTTGTGACAAGGTATAAGCATAATGGACAAAATGAAAAATTTACTTATTTGTTGTACATTTCAGTCCATCTGGTTGTACGTTTTGGGGTAAGAAGCCATGGAGTAGAAAGAAGAAGATATTATGGCAGTTAGGTACATTAGTTGGAGCTCCTGTAGGTATATCATTAGTAGCAGGTATAGCTGTACCTGCTATGATTATAGGTATACCTGTATGGGTTGGTAGAAAGGTGAGTCAACCCTTATATTATAAGTTTCTAGGGGTGGGGGCATGATTTCAAGGGGGTGGGCAACAAATTTCTATGGGTGACAGCCATTATTTCTTTATGGCATTGATCGACCATGAGTGCCACAATCTCCATCGTTTTGTACATTGAATGTCTTATGAATTGAAGGAATCACTCTCTTTATTTACCAAAATGGCTCACTTTGTCTCAACTCGAAAATTAAGGAGAAGCTTTATGAAGTCTCGATGGAGTAGAATATTTTATCACACACCATACCACTGAAAATCATGCCCAATACTTTCCATCTTTTTGGCTTTATGTACATGTATGTTGAATATTCTCTGTTGAATAAAAAGAGTCCCCGTCCTTATTTACTAAACCCCTCAGAGGTTTTTTCCAGCCAGATATAGAAAAGTATGACTTTTTATTATCTGCCGTAGGTGACACAGCCCCCACCCACTAATAAATAAAAAAGGGAGACAACTTTTAGCTCTGTAGGGACTGTAGTTGATTTACACTGTGCTACAGTTCTAATATCCTTCCAACATTGACAGTATATTCGGAAGGTATTGAGTTCTATTGATTATAATTCTTATTAGTTAAGTTGACCCCAAAAAATTTTTGCTAAAAAAAATTACATTTTATGGGCTTTTTTTTTCAGATTCATTCTCGCTATGTTTTGGATTCTAAACATAAACGGCGATTGGCGGTAACAGGAGGTGTGACAGCTTCTATTTTAGTTTCGCCAATTATAGCTGGCTTAGCCGTCGGTAAGTACTGTTTTCATTTGTAACTCAGTAAGTTTGTCGTCAGCAAATACTATTTTCATTTTTAACTTGACCGTCAGTAAATTCTAATTAGTAGGAATTCCTTTTAAGATGTCTGAGTAAGAAACATATGCATTCACATTGTAAAATGACTGAATAGAAGATGAAAGGCTTTTGCTTACAGAAAATGTACTGCTGTCAGACATGTGTCCCAGCGTGCAGCTAAAAATAGCTCATTTTCTAGAAATATATTTATCTCGGCTATTTTTTAACCGATTGAGCTCAGAATACAGATTATTTATGTTTTACCAAATGGAAATTTTAGTCTAGCCTGTAATAAGTGTGAGAGAATTTTGTTTGCTATTTGTTGACATTTAACAGAATTTACTTGTTCAGCTGTTCATTTTTAAAGACTTCATTCATACTCAAATTTTATTATAGGTATTGGAGTGCCGATATTGTTAGCGTATGTTTATGGTGTTGTACCAATATCTTTATGTCGCAGTGGTGGATGTGGGGTAACAACATCACAAAAAGGAGGAGTCAGATTTGAGTTTGATGAAAATGACGGCAACGCTGCAAGTACTTACGGGGCTTATGGTGGTAAATATCATATATGGCTTTTCTGGAGTTTACATTTTTTCATTTTGTCCGAATCCAAAATTGGTGTTTTCAAGGAAGTCTTTTTCTGAAACTTGTCATAAATTAAGCCTGAACTCTGCAATAAATTGAGTTATAATATTTAGTCGTAAAGTGTCTAATTTATATAGAATTGATCTCATTAAATGATGATTAAAAATGACCAACTGATATAGAATTGATATCATTAAATGATGATTTAAAGATACATTAATTAAGAGTTGGCAATTCTTGCTATAATAATTCAAAAATAGATGATAAAAAAGAAAATGTTGAAAATTTCATTCAAATGACTTTTTTCTGAATGGAATTGTCACTGTTGGAAGTTCTGACTAGAAATAGGCATCAATTGTGTCTGCACCGTAAATTAGAATGGGCCATCGTTTGATTGACAAGACGATATCTCCACCCACATATTCTCAATTATAAAGTAAAATGCTCAATGGCTATGGTAGCCTCGCTTGGCAGGCCTTTAATCACCAGTTTCCAGTAGTGACATCAGCGACTAATGGTAAACATTAGCGTTGTCCGCCATTTATTGATTTAATTTTAAATGGACGACTGTTTAAATCCAAACTGTATCCAAGCCACCCGTGGGTCTACAGACTTGATTTTGAGCTTGTCGTGTAAATAAAGGTTTAATTAATAATTTCTATAACATCTGAAGCCTAAAAAAAGACTTGCAATAGGCAGATTTAGCTCTTGCATAATGTATGTTTAATGTAGAATGATGATTTAATGATGATTTAAATAATGATTTAACATGACCAATTAATACATAATTGATCTCATTAAATGATGATTTAAAATGACCAATTAACATAGAATTGATCTGATTAAATGATGATTTAAAATGACTAATCAATATAGAATTGATCTGATTAAATGATGATTTAAAATGACTAATTAATATAGAATTGATCTGATTAAATGATGATTGTATATTTGAAGGTGATAATCAGAGTGTTGAGACAGCTCCACATGTAGCAAATCCTAGTATAGCACCAAGTATTGGTGAAGCGTCTGTAGGAATGACAGGAAGTCTTAGTGCAAGTGGAAGTCATTTGGATCGTGTGGGTATGCTTCGTGATGAAAGTGATCGGGATTCATCCAGTAATAGAGCGATAGCTGGTGCTAGTTTAAATGGAAGTTTGTGTGGTTCGGCTTATGCTGCTGTTATTGGTTATCAAAATAAGTAAGTCATTTTCTCAAATCTAATTCAAAATAGAATTTATTTTCATTTTATTTATTTGATGGTCACTCAAGTAACATCTAAAAATCTTTCTAAACTCACTGAAATCTTGTGCTTAGCACAGTTGACATTCTGAAATAAAGATATAATAGACAACAATTCTAACTGTCTACCAACTACGGTTCTTTTTAAAGGAGACCCTGGATATTTCCTAACTGATTGTATGGGAAAAAGCACCTTGATTGTCTGTATTTTGAAACAATAACAGACACATTTACTTGCACTACTCATTAGTATTATTAGAGTTATTTCAACTCTACTATAGTTGTATGTCCAAGTTTAAATTGAGCATTTATATGGGGTACTCGATTGAATGTTTCATTTTCTCAAAGCTGTCAATCAGGTAAACACAAGAATTTCCGGCAAACAAGACATGATAATCTTAGTACTATCTCGACCAATCACCATACCTGATGTCATCCCAATTCTGTCCACACCACATCCATGACAGGTCTCAATTCCATGTCACTCGATTGTAATTTCATTCAATCTGAATCAATCAGCCTGACAATCGAACATCCTGTCTATGTTTTATGTATATTTACAGGTTAGAAGTACAAGCTGATGTATCATCTAATATGTCATCACATAAACGAGCTAGTTTCTCTAGTGAATCAGCTAATATCAGTCTAAGTGAGAAATCTGCTACAGTATCATTCTCTGATGATGTTTCTACTAGAGCTTTAGCTGGTTCTATATCAGCTTATAGGTAATATACATAATGTGTTGCTGTTCCACTTCCCCATTACTCATAATATATGATACTACAATCAGGGCTTTCAATATAAATTTTGCCAGTCAGACTAATTTTGTTTTCCTCGGATTTGCAAGATGTTTTTGTCCAAGAATATAACAATTTTAGCACAATCCTAATTTTGAAATATTTTGAAGTGTTTTCCGACATAAGAACTATAAATTTAACTGTATTTATAGTGTATCCTTATTGTATCCTGTTGATAGTAACAACATTGCTATTAATTTATAAGGGGGGGGGGGGTGGATGGCCGAATGGTTAGCATGTACATGTTTTATCATATGGTCTGTCATTGAGTCAACTGGCGTGGTTTCAATTCCCCTGTTGTACGTTACAAGGAGTAGGGTTGCCTGTCCAACCTCGTGGGTTTTCTCCGGGTCCTCCGGTTTCCTTCCACTGCTAAAGACCCCTACATGCAAGCGAATTATTGAAATAAAATTGTACCATATGTTAGCCCAGAAATGACGTTAAACCCCATTTCTCTCTCTCTCTCGCTCACTATTAATTTAAAATAGTCAACCACATCCAGTCTTTGTATGGAATTAAGACATGGTAATATGTGACACTGGGCATTATTAGAGAATATTGCTACATGTAGTTCTGGAGAATTTCTAAATTAAGATGCATATTGAACAATTAGTATGATTAAAAGCTGATTAATGACAAGAAATAAGTCTGATTTGTGAAGATATATTTCCACTTTAAACCCACTGATCATTTGATCAATTTTGACTGTATTATTGTCAAAGTTGAACCTCTGAAAGGAATATCATTCCAAAAATGGTTCCATTCTAGTCTGTATTTATAAAGATAGGATAACTTGAAAATTTTGCAGCTGATGCCATCCCCATATACAAGACTGCTCTACCTATAAATAATCAATGGATTATCTACCCTTAATATTTTTCGGTTCTGTTTTCTGAACAAGATGTTAAATAGCGTGAATTAAACCATGTTGTTCAAAAAATGCAAATGATCAGCTGCGTTATGTTTGACTCCAGAACTACAAGTTCATCTTTTTGTTTCACATCAAACATCCCACAAATGCTGTCATTTTATTTTGTTCGTTTTTTCATTTTAGGGATAAAGATGGCGTATCATTGTCTTCGCCTCCATTTGAAGTACAGGCAGATGTGGAACCTAATAGGTCAATCCACAGTAAATCATCATACGAACGATCACCGAGTTTACGACGTAGTGTTAGCAACTCCATTGAAGAACTTAAAGAACATTCACACAAATCCAAAAAGTGTACACGATTCATAGATGATGACGATAAAGCGATAGGAATTGTACGAGTTTATTCGAAAAAACACGAACCATCCACTTCCAATCATAGAGAGATTCCATCAGCAAGAGCAGTAACTCTGTTGGAATCTAAAACTAGATCAGTAAGTCATTCCTCTGGAGAGAGCATTACAAGTGAAACAAGTAAATTTTTCGTTCTTCCAGAAGTGGAGACGGACAGACCCACACGGTCGCTTTCCACGAACAATATGACAGAATCATCCGTACTCTTGAAAAGAAATCGTCAAGTTAGTTACAGTTGTTCAGGAGTTTATGAACATGTGACAGACAATTCAAGGAGCTCAGAACGAAAATCTCCACGGCGACACAGTTGTGAGATGGCCTTTAAGCACGGACGAATTTCTCCATCAGAAATGAAATAAGACATGGAATTATTATAAGATATTATATTTTTGTTGTGTTTAAGTATTTTATTTGATATTTCATACAAAAGTTATTAGTTTGATCACTTGGTCTGTCCAAAGAAAGGGCCGAGAGGCTGGTTCACATTTTTGTGTAGCCAACTTCACTGTCAAATATGCATTGCATGTCATTTGTAGGAAATTAATTGAGCAAATTTTAATTACTAGTCCACTGGGATTTTATTAAAATTTTCTAGGAACCAAACCCAAAAGCCTTATTCACCATAGCTATAATCACTTTTAAGCAATTGTGAAGTCAAATCAGCACTACTAATGAGTTATCATTTTAAAAATTGGTATTTTTATTTATAATCAATTTTAAGGGATTTAATTTTCGTGGGCCCCAATGGTTAGTATTAGTGAAATCTGCTGTGGATGTTCATAATTTTTTCACAATAATTTTCTCAAGGGTTATTTCAGAACAACCTTTCCAAAACCTACATCAGTCTACATTTATATGGTCTTACTCATTTAACATTTTTTCTTGGCTTATTTCATAAAACTTAAAAGCAATTAGTTGATGTCACCTTCTAAATGGTCAAATATTTTTTTTCAGGTTTTTCATATATATTACAGTGCTATGAAAATCAATGTAGATGATATGATTTATTTATTTTTGTTAATTGTATAGATAGAACCTCAAAGTAGAGGATAAACAATTAGTATAGCTCAGATTGAGAATGTCCAGGATTTAAAGAGCTATTCCATTTCAAAATATCACCTACTTGTAGACCAATAAGTAATTTCTACCACAGATTCTTTTTTTGTTTGCTCAGCTTTGTCATAAAGTTTGATTTCTTGGGACTTTATATTTAAGCGGACTCCCAGATCCTTATTATTTATCACAACACAAATCTTCCTGTCAGTATATTGGTTACTTTTAGCCATTACTTTAAAGAGAATCGAAGAGTAGTGTTCTTTATTTGTGGTTTCAATTATCCAGCCCATACCTTATCACCAGTGTGGTGATCTGAGCCCATCCATTACCACAAGCATGTGGTTCTCAGGTCTTGTACTTAATTGTATTTCAGTAACATTAATTAACATAGTGAGCTATGGAATTTTAAGTTACAATCAATTTTAAATTTTTTCTCATGATTTATGGCCCCAGGAAAAGATTTGCTTTTCATACCCAGGAATTCAGATACCTCATAATTTTGGACTTCAATTATGAGATAGCCAGACTGGTTATTTCTGTTGTCTAGCATATCATGAAACAATTTGGGAACTCTTATTCTGGAAATTGTTTAAATATATTTTGTTGTAATGTTGTTTTCTTTTCTCGGTGTGTATAATTTTCAGTCTAACTGATGTGATAGTAGTTTATTTCATGTTTTATATAACATCTTGTGGTTGTACATTGATGCTCATACATCATCTTCCAACTTCAAGGGGAAACTCTACTCCCTCATTTGAGCCCTTCCGTTCGATATTTTTGTTTTAACAGCAAATATAGTGTGCCAGACAGTGAAAAACTACAATAAAAAAAAGGGGAAATGTTTAATTAAATGTATTAAGATAAACCGAATAGAATACAACTTCTATACTCACAGGCCCAAAACACTCTTTTCTCAAACATGAATGCAAAAAAAATATGGTATAAATATGGTCCACTCCTATCGGGAGCCATAGTGGCTCAGTGTGTGAGTAAGACTTTGACTTGCTAACCTGGAGGTCCCGTGTTCGATCCCTGCGTTGGCCTAGAAAGTTCATCGGGATTTTCTGACGTAATTCCTTCTTGTAAGTGGTGCAGAGCCTTGCAAGGGACAACGTACAGTTGTTCGGATGGACGAAAAACCAAGGTCCCATGCACCCATTGGCGTGCACATAAGGATCCCTTGTCAGTTGGAATTTGATATAAAATAGGCCGTAGTGCCGCTGTCTGGGCAAAATTTCCCTTATGGCACACTGTATGATATATGCCTGTCTTCATTAACCCAGTCACAGTTAAACCTCATTTCATTTCATTTCCACTCTTATCAAGGGAGGTTATATGACCTGAGGCAGCATATTTTCTGAGAATTACCATCTCATTTTTTGTGCAACCACAAGATATAGGTTTAATTTATATGTATATTATTTTTATATGGCTTCAGTCTTTCATTTGATATATCTGCACCATCGTCAGATATATACACTGTGGTCCTATTTGTGAAGCAGGACCCTTGTTCATACTTAATCAGTGACCTTTGATGTACAACATCTGTGGTTTGTGAGTGAGTATGAAGGATGTGTAGGATATTTAACGATGAAACTGTAAATATATATGTATATTATATATAGTATTGTTTATATGGCGTGGATTACTATAGTATAAAACTAGTTTTAATATACGAGGAATCGCTTGCAATATTTGAACTCTCCCAAACAGTTATAATGCAATTTTCACGTCAACAATACGATTTTTTGCCAACTTTCTGGATGTTAACCGTTGTAACACAAATATATCTTTAAAGAAAAATTATTTAGTTTTTTGTAGGTCTGAGACAGATGAAATATTTTGGGACTACAGGTGGATGTCACTGTGTCTTTCAGTGAAACCTTGGTATATACCACAAGTGTTGCTCTAACACAACGTTAGCTCAGTTTTATAGTGGTTGCCTATGTTAATCTGTCTTGAAACTTCTTCAAGTGACTTTCTTAATGCAGACATTGATAATTAATCTGGACTACCGTCATGTCATTCTCTATTGGTTAAACTGGGTTTAAAGTTCATTATGCAAATATATAAGCTATAAATACCTTTGAAATTCAGAAAATTTGAGATTAAGTTTGTACTAGGCCAACTACTAATTTCTATCTAAGCTCCTTGTTGTAACCTAGGTTTACTCAACAAAGTTAGTGCAATCTGTAAAATTAAAGATCACAAGTTACATTGGTAATGTTGATACATGTTGTTTTGTCACCAATGCAACATAGAATATTCTAATAAGTTTTAGATTTCTGCTTTTATGAAAGTTGCAATCATTAATCTTTCAGGTTTAAAGTACAGAAGTTTTTGCCAAAATAATGCCTCTTGTCAAAGTATTGTAAACAATTGCTGCCAAAAATGTTGATTCATCTTTTGTGACCTCCTATTTAGTGTCATTCTTCATTTATCATTGACTCGTGTTTAAAAGTATATCACACCATATTTTTACCTGCATCAATGATAAAAAGCTATTGTACAACTTGCTCACTGAATGTAAATATAGCCTCCAACAGATACTGCAATAAGGCATCTTTTCATTTCGAAAAATATTTGCATCTATATTGTATTTATTACTAGAAATGAACATTTTTTCATGTCCTATATGTTGTGTTGTCACCAATAAATGTGTTTCAGATATAACATGGCAACACAGACAATCTCTTGACAAGTTTTTATATTGACGGAGGTATAATATATTAAATATTAGCCATATACTAGCACCTGTTGGTTAAACTTTTAGGTTGGTTGGTCATACATCGCTTAGTTTTATATTGAAAGTCATCCTCGATAGAATACTTTATTCAGAATGGTCAAAAACTATGAAGTCACAAATTTTATTCTTCATACAGGAGTTCCCGACAATAAAAAGCCTGTAATAGTGACAATAATAAACACAGAAGTTTCGGCTATTGCTATACTACTATTGATAATAACTTAGTGGTCGATGAGGGACTGAGACCGAATGTTTTATACATCATAAGGTCTATCATTGAGTCAAGTGTCCCCAAAATGACCAACCTTGTGTTAAATGAGCTTAAACCTCTCTCTCTCTGGTTGATGACAAATTTTAAACCCATTGTTAAAGGATGACTCTCTATGTAAAATTTGCAGCTTATGGTATGTACGACTTTACAGTGTATATAATAGTTGTATATAAAATATAATGTATAAAACATGTCATACATTTGTATATTGATATAATTGTATAATCCATACTGAATTCTTTTCTGAGAAAAAATAAAATAATTGAATTGTCCAAATGTTTACTCTTTGTTAAAAGCTTGAAGGATATCCAGGAATTTTTTTTTTCGTGTGTGTGTGTTGGGGGGGTAATCCAAAAAGATTTTGCATACTTAAATGTACCTGTGCTCTCAATTTTTATACGCCCACATTTTCATGTGGTCACAATTTTTATCCGATTTCAATGAAACTTGAAATATAGGTTTATCACCCTAAGATCTCGGTTCCTTTCGATAGTGGCATCTATCGGACCGTAACTTCATGGATTATGGCCCCTGATTGTACGAAAAATCACGTTTTTGGCTTGTGAAAACTGTAGAGGTCACAATTTTTATACGATTTTGTTGAATCTTGATATGTAAGTTTATAACCCACAAATCTCGGTTCCTTTCGATATTCGCGCATATCGGACCGTAACTTCCTGAATTATGGCCCCTGATTGTACGTAAAAACGCGTTTTTTGGCTTGTGGACCCTATAGAGGTCATAATTTTTATCCGATTTAAAAAACCGTGTTAATATATCACTGTTAGACCATAAGGACGGCTGAGTTAGAATTTCGTGAAAATCGGCCCAAAATTGACAGACAAAATGGCCGCCCTTCGTTCCCAAATAGCGTAAATATATGGTATATCAAGGTTGTGGACCCTATAGAGGTCACAATTTTGATCCGATTTTGTTGAAACTTAAAATGTAAGTTTATAACCCAAAGATCTCGGTTTCTTTCGATATTCGCGCATATCGGAACGTAACTTCCTGAATTATGGCCCCTGATTGTACGAAAAATCACGTTTTTAGCTTGTGGACCCTATAGAGGTCATAATTATTATCCGATTTAAAAAATCATAATATTATATCACCGTTACACCCTAAGGATGACTGAGTTCGAATTTCGTGAAAATCGGCCAAAAACTGACAGATAAAATGGCCGCTCTTCGTTCTCAAATAGAGTAAAAATATGGTATATCAAGGTTGTGGACCCTATAGAGGTTACAATTTTTATCCGATTTTGTTGAAACTTGAAATGTAAGTTTATAACCCAAAGATCTTGGTTCCTTTCGATATTCGCGCATATCGGACCGTAACTTAATGAATTATGGCCCCTGATTGTACGAAAAATCACGTTTTTAGCTTGTGGACCCTATAGAGGTCATAATTTTTATCTGATTTAAAAAAACGTATTATTATATCACCTTTACACCCTAAGGACGACTGAGTTCGAATTTCATGAAAATCGGCCCAAAACTGACTGACAAAATGGCCGACTCGTTCTCAAATTGCGTAAAAATAAGTATATCAAGGTTGTGGATCCTATAGAGGTCACAATTTTTATCTGATTTTGTTGAAACTTGAAATGTAAGTTTATAACTCAAAGATCTTGGTTCCTTTCGATATTTGCGCATATCGAATTGTAATTTCCTGAATTATGGCCCTTGATTGTAGGAAAAATCACTTTCGTTTTAGCTTGTTTTCTATCCATCTCTCGAAAATGTGGGCGTATCCTGCTTGACAGCCGCTGGTCTTACTCCTTCTGTGCTGAGTTTGTCAATCTGTCAACAGGGAAAGCGTCCTGATTCAGGCTACTGTTGGGAGTTACCAATTAGCATTATTTGAGGATTTTGATTTTCTGATCAGACTTTATTAACCATATTGTATGGAAATGAAAATATCTTCTCATCAAGTTTGATAGATATATGAAAGAAGAAAAAAGTTCTACTAGAATTAAGTGGTGTCAAAGATGAAAATAGACAAATATTAGACATCAAAGGAAACTCTTTCATTTTTATAGGACCACAATTGTTTGTGGACGCTCTCAAGACTAAAGTTAACATCCGATTGACTTTAAATTTATACAGTGTTTAAGGCCATGAGATGAAAAAGTCTGTTGATTTTCAACGATTTCCGATAATTACTGCCAGAGTTATGGCCCTTGATCAATTTGAAAAATCTTGTGGACACTCTAGAGGCTAAGATAATATCCGATTGACTTTAAATTTATACACAGTGTTAAAGGTCATGAGATGAAGAAACCTATTAATTTTCAGTGATTTCTGATAGTTACTGCCAGAGTTATGGCCCTTGATCACTTTGAAAAATCATGTGGACCTGCTAGAGGCTAAAGTTAATATCTGATTGTCTTTACATTTATACACAGCGTTTAAGGTCATGAGACAAAGAAGTCTATTGATTTTCAATGATTTCCGATAATTATTGCAAGAGTTATGGCCCTTGATCAATTTGAAAAATGTTGTGGACGCTCTAGAGGCTAAAGTTAATATCAGATTAAATTTAAATCTATACATAGTGTTTAAGGTCATCAGATGAAGAATCCTATTGATTTTCAATGATTTCCAATAATTACTGCCAGAGTTATGGTCCTTGATCAATTTGAAAAATCTGTGGACACTCTAGAGGCTAAAGTTAATATCTGATTAAATTTAAATCTATACATAGTGTTTAAGGTCATCAGATGAAGAATCCTATTGATTTTATATTTATACACCGAGTTTACGCCTATATATAATCGTTTCGATTGACTTTAGATTGATACACAGAGTTTAAGGTCTTGAGACGAACAAGTATTGATTTTCAATATTTAAAATATATCTCGTCCCACAATTCTTATCCGATTTCCAATATATTTATATTTTTGAAAACCATTCACTATTTGTAATTGATCGCTGAGATTAGAATTTTGATATTTAACCCAGATTTTTTTTTTAAAGTGACGTCATAAAATTGATTATTTGTTTTTTAAAAAATGTACAACTTTGAAATCAGTTTAAATGTTGATGCTCAATGATTAATTTAGTCCTTTAATGGTTATTCTGAAAGCTTTATCAAAATCGATTTACTATTTACAATTTATATTTTCTGGGCAGTCACGATAGCTCAGTGGGTAGGACGTTGGCTCGCTAACCTGGTGGTCCCGTGTTCGATATCTGCGTTGGTCGAGAAAGTTCATCAGGATTACCCGGCGGGGTTCACTCTTGTCAGTGGTGCAGGACAGAGGGCCTGGCAAGGGACATTGTATAGTCGTTCGGATGGCATGAAAAACTGACGTCCCGTGTATACATTGGTGTTAGGGGCGGACGATTGCCCGAAGGGCCGGCCGGACAAAAAATGAAATAAATAATTTTGTCAAATTCGTCTAAAAACCTTTTTTTCTGCTGAACATTATATGGGGGGGGGTATTGGACCGACCATGGAGCGACGATGATCATGTTGTATGTGGTCGATGGATTTAACAGGGCTTCATGCCATCACTGGAGTCTGGAATGGGCTTGTATGGTGGACTTTCTGGGCCGGTTGTGCTGGGTGTGGGCCGGAATTCGAAATCCTGCAATGGGGATTCCGAATTTCATCCGAAATCCTGCAATGGGGATTCCGAATTTCATCCGAAATCCTGCAATGGGGATTCGGAATTTCATCCGAAAAATTTCATCTGATTCACCCGGCACTGTCGCCTGAAATTTACTAATTATTAAGTCACCTCCACCCTGTTAGTGGGGATACCCAGAAACGTCTGCCGATGGTTCGTAACTCCAAAAATATTCAATTTTAAGGCTCAACAAAATTTGATGATAGCTGGTCTGCTGGCTGAATATGAGTGCTAGACGCTTTCCTGAGGCTGGTGTTAAACATTCCTTGACATTTTTATTAACTCGTTATTAACTCGCCCCCCTTTCCAAAAAGTTCCGCCCCCCCCCCCCCCCCCGTGAAAAAATTTTCGACCATAAAAAAAATAGAAATACATTGTCCATCAATATTACAGCACCCCTGAGAACACTTCCCGCCCCCCTCGTTGCTCTGAGCTAGTTTACGGCCCTGGATGAAATTATAGAATTGGGATGTCGGGAATGGTCTCAAATTGCAGGAAATGGCCTCCCATTTCCAAAAATTCTAAACTGAATTGTGTCCCGTACGCCTATGCATGTCCGCTCCCACTCCGTCAAGGCCACCTGTTATACGACCTTGACCAGAAAGAACGTTATCTCAGTCCCCGTCCCATTGCAGGCATCATGGTCTTCAGAGGCTGTTTGTGTATACAGTAGAATCTGCATTAAGCAGCCACCCAAGGGAATTTTCACAACTGACCGCTTAACGGGAGTGGCCTCTTAATAAAATCTCGTTGCTTTTTGTGCCGACATAAATTAAATATTACGCTTGAATGCATTGGAAGCGGTAAATTTGGCCGTCGCTGAATCTTGCGCCGAACGAAAATTCTTTACTCAAATCTCGGACATAACTTAACGGGAGTGGCCTCTTAATAAAATCTCGTTGCCTTTTGTGCCGACATAAATTGGATGCATTGGAAGCGGTAAATTTGGCCGTCGCTGAATCTTGCGCCGGACATAACTTCTGTAAACTTGTCATTTTGTACTAACCTTCGATACTACTGTCTACCATTGTGATGCATTCGATAATATTTATCCATTTTTGTGAAGAAAATCGATGAATTCATTTTATTTTATCAAAAAAACACATGAACAAAAAACATCGCTAATTTTATCACCTATTTACAGGGGGTGTAACTCTGTATGTAATATTATAGGAGGCGCTAAGAGAGATACTAGATGATCGTGACAAAACTCGGTACTTTTATTTTATTCAATCAGTATCAAATAATGTGTCGTTACGCGTGAAAACAATGATCAGGTTAGTCGTTTAATAAAACAAAAGATTAATTAACAGATAATCCCGGGTTGATTGTTATGTTTACATTTCTTTTTACCTGATCAGTGGGGGTCCAGTTAATTAACTACTACTCACGGGATTAGCGGGGGTGTTACAAAGAACGACAAGATGGTATCATTCAACAATGGCCGTTGAATGGGCGATGTTTTGTTGAATTTATTAGTAAAATAGTGACCGCTGGCCGCGTTAGAGGAGTGACCGTTGAATAAAGAGATGAAACAATAGAATTTCTACGGGGGGGGGGGGGGGATTTATCGTGACCGCTTACAAGGAGATGTCGCTGAATAGGAGTGGCTGCTCATACAGATTCTACTGTATATAAC